GTACAGAGAAGAGCGCCGACTGTATCAGGAGATGAGTTCAAAAGGATGGGGAGGAATCCACAGTGCCTCCTAGATTTGTAGCTGGAGTTGGTGCGTGGAGGCTGGTGCTGTTTACATGGGGAAGGTGTGGGGAACGGGAATGGAGAAGTTTGAGTGCCAGGAGCCCTGGGGATTCAAGGCTAGAGTGAGTGCCTGCACTCCATGAGCTCTTAGTTCAGTGACTAGTGTGTGGATGGACTGTGGTTGTTAGGGCACGGGGTGCCAAGTGGGAGGATGGAAGTGCCACAGGTGCCACCTGTGTTTGAGATGGGGCACCTGGCCTTGCCCACACCAAGATGGTTGCTCTGAAGCTCTTCTGGGGCTTCTCTTAGTCTGGGGACATCTAGAGTGGTGTCTCCCTGAGGGTCCTGTATACCTATTGTTTATTAGGAGGCCATGGTGACAAATTATTCTCCACAGGAAACCCAAGCAAGACAACACTTCAGGAGGATTTCTCAAAACAAAGTCCAAGCGGGGTCTCTTTGGCTGATCAGCAGGGCTCTCCTGCAGTGGAGTGACCTCAGGAGCCTTGATAGCCATCTGCTCCACTCCCCTCCCCACGCAGCCCCACCAGGAAGCGGGGAGGGGAGATTGGTGGACCTTGTTCAGGGAGCTTAAAATGCTACAGTGGGTTGGCGGGAAATTTTTGCTGGTTTAGGTGGTTTAGCAGCAATTAGATCCTGCCTCTAAGGTGTCACGGATGGGGGTCCAGTGTGAACTGGGGAAGCTATGCACGTCCGTGTCGGCCGTTGGTGATTTACCTGGAAGGTGGAGGATGGCTGGATTCTTTACCTCAGAATCCTGTGCTCTCGCCTGAGGCATAGGCCTTTCAGGGACTGTTCCTGTTTGGAATAATGTGTACCTTCCTGACAGACAGTAGCCTGCCCCTGAATAACGCTGAGTGTATAATTTCTTGACCATGATGTTCCTTTTGCTAAATAAAGAGAATTTCACTGGGCTCAGGAGAAAAGGATTTATTGAAAAGCAGATTGACCCAAGTTACCAGCTAAGTTGTGTCTATAATTGGGCTGAATGGATGGAGGCACACATGGGCTGTATTTTTGAAGGACATTGGGTAGAATTTTGTGTTTATAAATGATCTCCCTCACAAGCAGCTCTAAGTGACCATAATTTGAAACCGGTGTAATTTGCAATGTGATAATGTATTAAAAGTGGCCCAGAGAAATGATGTGGGACTTCAGAATATGGAGAAATAAGGGCCTGCTGGGCTGCCTGGATCAGGGGTCTGGACAGAGTGGACTTGGGACGTGGGCAGGACTCCAGTGGAAATGTGTCCATTGGTAATTTCAGGCAGAGGGAAAACTGTAAATGGCAGTGGTGAGGAAGTGTGTAGTTTCACAGACTGACGAGTCGTCCAGTTTGGCTGAACTGCAATACCATCATCTTACATGAAGTGCAGAGGTCATCTCATATAATGTTGTAGCAAATCTGTAAAATGGGAGGTAAGATGGTTAAGGCTTACAGAGAGCTTACTGATGGCAGAACTCGACTCAGACCCTACTCTGAGACTCAAAAGCCCATTGTTCTTTTCAAGCACAATAGTTTGCTCCCACTTATTAAGGGTTTTAGTGTTAGGGATATGCATTGTGGAGGATTTTGAATGCTCAAGTAAGGAGTTCGGATTAGATTCTATAGGCAATGAGTAGTTAGCTCTTTTCAAGTGGGGAAAACATAATTAGAACTATGCTTTAGACATTTAATCTGGAAGGAGTGTTAAGATGAATTAGAGACCTAGGTACCTAAGTCAGGGCGACTACTTAAAAGAGCATAGTGGGGGATCAAAGTCATAAGATACTGGATTGAGATAAACTGGGGGTCAAATAAGTTAATGGCTTTGTCCAAAGCCGGATAGTTAATCAGTAGTGCAACCACGGTTCCAATGCAAGTTTGTTTTTTGTTGCCCATATTCTGGTTTCCAGTTTTCTAATTGAGTTGGGAGCGAAGTTAATATGTGCAGTACAAGGTGACAGTGCTGTTGCACAGCATCCCTTAAGGCCAATTCACAGGCTGTTATGAAGTAGTGTATATATGCCTAATGGGCACTTAGCCCTGTAATGGACTAGGAATGGGAGCAGGTGGTAGATACAGAAGTCCAATGGAGCTAAATAAAAATCATCAATTTAAAAAAGTATTCCAAATTGTTCTAAGTTAGGGAAGTTGTTAAAAGGTACTTGTTGGTCTAAGAAGATATGAGTTTACCTGACTTTAGCCTGCATGTCAGCATTAGATCTAGTAGCCATCCGTTTAGGCAGGAGTTAGCACTAATGGCCATTACCCAGACGTCCTCATGCCCAAAATCTCGAACGTAAAGATTTTTAAACTTGAGGGTGTTTATAAGCCCTGATATTATCTTGGTCATGCACATGCATTTTAATAAGAACAACAAAATTTAACTCTGCATCCTGCCGATTTTTTTGTTTGTTTGCTTCTCTACCTTGATTCCTTCTTTGGAGTTCCTGACACTTTGTTGTCACATAAGCCAGTCCCCCTTTTTGAATTCCTGGCCCACTTACCCTTAGGATAGCCTCCTTGCTCCTCAAACTTTTCCGCCTGTTGGATGGGTCATTATCTTTCTCGAGCCATTCTTTCCTGGAAAAGAGGGGATTGCTCGATCCCTAAGTCATTTTTCCCAGTGATGCACAGGGCACTTCCGATCTTAACACTGCAAGTGAAAAGTGACAGGTATCATTGATTTGTGCCTTCTTATTTGTGTCAAATGTAATATGTTATCTGGGTCTTCTCGAAGTCCAGTTTCCTGGGTGTGCCGTGTTGTTCTGGGAGCTTGGCGGCACTCACTCACCCCCTCTGGTCTGATTCATCTTCTCTTGGCATCATACGTCTGGGAGCTTGGCGGCACTCACTCACCCCCATCCCACCTCTGGTCTGATTCATCTTCTCTTGGCATCATACGTTGCTCCCAAGGATACTTCCTAAGTTCTTTAGATAGTAACTCTCCCTTCTGCATGGTTCTCTGCTGAAGCCTAAGGCTCAGACATCCTGTGTTCATCCACTTATTTTAGGTTAAACATACAGACTTTAGGCAAATCTCCAAACTTTGGGTGTGGCCCCTGCGACCCAGTTCTCCTCCTTGCAGATTCAGGGAGTCTTCAAGGTGGCATCAAACTGGAGTCTGTTTCAGAGGGTCTGACGCTCAGCCTGGTAGACTCTTAATGGCCTCGGATGGTCGCACTTCTGAGCAGTTCTCTAAGGAGTCGATTATGAAAGTGTTGAAAGGAGAGATGGCACCCATCATGATCCCCAGGGCCCAGTGGATGTCACATAAAATTTAAAAAAATGAGAATGAGAGATGTAAGCATCCACAGGTTTCTTTAGAGGCCACCTTTCAATGTAAAGATTTCACAGGAACAAAGCAAAAAGAGACGCTATGATGACAACAATGATATCCTAGGACCACAAGGGTCTCAGGAAGCTGCTGCTTTCCACCCTCCAAATACTTGGTAGGGTTCTATATCCATTTTCAAGTAATTGGTTATATAGCCAATTGGAAAAATAATAACTTTTTCATTTTCATCTTTTCAGCAGTATCTACCAGCCACTTGTACTCACTCAGGTCCCTCCCCTTGTTGACAGTTTGTGTGAGCTGAGACCACCCAGCTCTTTGCTGACCTTGAAGAGCGGCTGAATGTTAAGGTTTCTTCAGCTCAGGTGCCACACCTGAGCCTTCCCTGGTGCTCCCAGCCCCAGTCCAGTTCTTTCTGTCTTTCTAGTTAACCTCTAGTTGACATCAAGATCATTGTACTTTTTCAGCTTCTTGGCTGTTGGCCCAGGTCAGAAGCAGGGCTAACATTCGTTCACTTATGCCTATAAGCTGTAGCCTACCTGTTTTAATAATTAGTAAGGTGGGGCAGGCAGAGGTAGCCCATGGTAGCTTCTCTGTCCATTCTTCTACAGCCTGCTCTGCCCAGGAAGCCATAGGAGCTGGTGCTAGCAGTATTGGGCTCGTGCCGGGAGACCTGTGTCTTTAACCTACCTTCACACTTCTCCATTTCCTCATCTGGAAAAGGGGGAGATTGCTTGATCCCTCAGTTGCTTATACTCCAACAGTGTATATTGAGTATATATTTTGTGCCAGGCACGAGAGATTGAAAGCAAAGTGCTTGTCTCCTGGCAGTGGATTTGTGAACTGGAGGTAGATGGCTGAGTATAACCCTCACCAGCAATTTATTTCCCAAACCTGCTTAAACATCCATCTTCCTTGGAGACCTATTAAACTGTTTTTTCCATTACTTGTCTGTCTTCCTAGTATCTGTTTTAAAGGGATAAATATAGATCTGATGTAGAATATCTTCTCTCTGCCTTCCATTTAGTCAGACTGAAATCTTTCTTATTGCAACTGATAGCTGTTTTATCTTTTTTTTTTTTTTCTGGGAAACTTGAAGCAAGATCAGCCTAGGAGTCAATGGCTGCCCTCTATGATACATATATGTGAGCAAAAATGTTCAAAACTGCTGGCATGCTAGGCTTAAATACAAGAGAAGAAAAGATCCTCATTCTTGAAAAAAAATATATCTTAGACAGTGGCACAAAATAGAAATAAAGGTGGGAATATAGACCTGAAAGGTTATATATGTAAATTCTCAGAAGGGATTGACATATGTATGGTAATGATCTAGGGGGTACTGCATCCAGAGAGAACTTAGCAGAGTGACCGGTGGCTGCGTCCTCGTCCTGTGGGTCATAAAGAATATATGCCATTTGTGCGTGCCAAGCACTTTTGAGAACTTTCTTTTTCTTGCTTTTTCAGATCTCATGCAGGCATGTGGGGGGCGAGGGAGAGCTATTTGTATGCTATCCCTCACATTGATCCCTAAAAAGGGAGAGATACTCCTGTTTGGGCTCAGACCCTCGTCAGCCAAGTCTCTGGAAGGCAACAAAGCCTTTCCACAGCCAACGACTCACCAGAGCCTTTTCTCTTCCAGAGACGAGAAGAACCAGTCCATCATAGTCAGCGGGGAGTCTGGAGCCGGAAAGACTGTGTCAGCCAAGTATGCCATGCGCTATTTTGCCACGGTCGGTGGCTCAGCCAGTGACACCAACATCGAAGAGAAGGTCCTGGCGTCCAGTCCCATCATGGAGGTAAGGCCTTCCAAACACCCGAGGCCTTCCTGGTTGGAGTCCATTCCACTGGCAGCAAGGCTGCTGGGTGTCCAGCCTTGCATGGCTGATCACAAGAATCCTTGAAAGCATCTCACGTGGTTGACATTCATGTCGTTCCCTGAAAGCCCATTGTCTGCCATTGAGGAAAAAATTACAAAGATGCCTCTAGGACTGTAGATGGGAAATAATCTAACCTGGTAGCAACCTCCAGGTCCCCAGTATCAGATGGAGTGTCCTCTTCATGTTTTCCTGTCCTTTGACTCTGCTGAATGCCGTAGAGGTGGCCCTTCCCCATCTACTGCCACCTCTGCTGCCGTTTCCCTCCCTGCTGCCATCAGGTGTCATCACATCCATCAAATCCACCAAAACCATTCGATGCTCAAAGGCCCACTGAACCAGGAGGGCAATTCTCATGGGAGTGGGGAAGCTTAGGTAGAAGATTTCTCCCCCCCACCCCAAAACAAATTTGTACCTGTACATTTTATCTTTGGAGTGTGTGTGTGTGGAGTGAGGGTGGGGGGTTGGTGGGGAAGTAGAACCAAAGGCTGTGTGATGACGTGGAGTCTGTTGAAGATCCTGTGACGGCATGAGCTGGCCAGGGCAGGTCCTGTCTGTATCTTCACACTCTCCCCATTACTCTCTGGGCCCGGTAGGCTCAGAGCAGTCAGTGCAGGCGCAGGGCCAGCGATTTCCTAAAACTTGGACCTTAACTAATCATGTTTTAGAGTCAGAACTCCTTTTTATCTCTTTATAAGAACTGACTGGCCACACAGTTCCTGGGCCAGCTTCGATTTCCTGCCTTTGAAGCTGAAGCTCGTCATTATTGTCTGAGTTGCAGTCTGGTAGGATTCTACCTTATGCCAGCCCTGGGTAGCCCCTTTGTTTTAATAAGAAGAAATTCAGTTAAGACCAACAGCTGCCAAGATAGCATCAGATTTCTCTGCAGTGCCTTGAGCCCCACTGATTAAGACACAAGTCACCAAAGTGGTTGGTCTTTCAGATTATTTTGGAGCTGGGGAGAACAAGAACCTGCCTGGACCCTCCTAGGTCCTCTCTCTCTCCCTCTTCCATGATCAAGTGCAGGAGTAATTCTGAGTCTCAATTCGTAGGAGTTCGTTGATTATCCAGGCAAAATCTCCTGCCGACAAAGTTGCATCATTGGGAGAAATTTCATTCTCCACTGAGTCACAGGACACAATGGGTTCATTAAGAATTTAACGAAAGCAGTTTTAAGTATCTGTTCTTATATGAAATGGTTACTGCTGTTGAAAGCATTTTTACAAACAGATAAAAACAAAAAGAAAAACTATTCTGTTACAGTGGTCCTTAAACTTGCCCTGCATCAGAATCACCTGAGGGCTTGTTTAAGCCGATGGCTGGGCCCCACCCCCCAGAGTTTCTGCTTCAGAAGGTCTGGGGAGGGTCTCCCAGATTTACATTGTTCACAAGTTCCTAGGTGATGCTGATGCCGCTGGTCTGGGTACCACACTTGAAGAACCACTGACCTATTAAAGTAAGAAAGACTCACTGGACAATATGGAAGAATGAGGAAGTAATCTCCCCAGTCCTACTGCCTGCTGATAATCATTCAACGTTTTGGTCTGCTGAGTAGTTTAGAATGAGCCTTGTCCCCATATCATTAAACTTTATATGAACTGTCTTACTGCTGCAACATTTGTTAATAGACGGTTTTACCATAACTTGTTTCATTTAACTATTGTCAGACATTTAATTGATCGGCCATTTGCTCACAGCATTGATTCTCAGCTCTGAGGCAGGGGCCTGGCCATGGCCTACCAATTCGGAAAGTAATGATTATGGACTGTGGCCTGGGCCTCCCCCTTGGACCATCGACTGCACCTAAATTGAGGCAGCTTTGAAAGTACCATTAGCATCATGTTTCATCTCAAATGGGAGTGAAACCAGGCTTTCAGCCTCTCCTTTGCCTCCGAATTTCAAAATTCAGTTCATCTTTAGGCAGTAAGATTTCAAAGACACAGAGTGCCTCTTCGTTTGGAAATAGAGTAAGTAGTTACTCTGGGCAAAACAGAGAAGGGAATAAACCTGTTTGATCTCCGACGATGGAGCAAAGTTGTTAGTCAAGATGAGAATTTACTGAAGGCAGAGTACTACGTTATTAAACATGTATAAGACCCAAGGTGAATGATTTTTAAAATTGTATTTTATTGTGACAAAACATACATAAAATTTGTCAGTTTAACCATTTTAAGTATACAGTCGAGTGTCATTAAGTGCGTTCACAATGCTGTGCAACCATCACCACTATCTATTTCCAAGACTTTTTCATCTTCCCAAACAGGAATTCTGTGCCCATCGAACACTAATTCTCTTCTCCCTGCCCCCAGCCCCTGGTAACCTCTGTTCTTTCTGTCTCTATGAATTTGCTTTTTCTAGGTACCTCATATGAGTGGAGTCATTCAATATTTGTCCTTTTCTGTCTGGCTTATTTCACTTAGCACGTTTTTAAAGTTTATCTGTGTTGTAGAATGTATCCTTTTTATGGCCGGGTAATAATTTATTGTGAGGATATACCATATTTGATTTCTTTGTTCTTCTGTTAATGGACACGTGGATTGTTTCCACTTTTTGGCTACTGTGGATGATGTTCCTGTGACCATTGGTATACAGTATGCGTTTGAGTTCCTGCTTTGAGAATGCTTTTTAAATGACAGCGGTCTAAAATGATCTAATGTTTTCAGTGTCCATTATGACCTGAGTAGGCCGGTGGACTGCTGGGGAGGCAGGGCGCTTTGGCATGGGAGAAACATGAGCGCAATAACTACACCACAAAGTACACAAGATGTGGTGCAGTTGCTAAAGTCTGAAGGAGGAGGAATGTATATACGCAAACCGACCTAATCTTGCACGATGTCGTGTCAATAAACACTACAGTAGTTTCGGCTCAGAACATTAAATTTCTACCTTGTGCAGCTGGTACTTGGGAAACTATGTAAGTCCTGAAGTCTCATTCCGTCGTGTACAGAATTTTGTCATCCTAGAGACTGTCCCTTGAGCTGTTCTTACATGTTATATTTGAGAGAAATCTTGGATATGAACGTGGAATGGAATAATTATAGCCAGGGAGTAGTCTGGGTGGGGTTAGAAAAAGAGTTGCCAAGCAAAGAAAGAGAGCCTTTTGCACCTCTAAATCCCCTTTCCACACATTTGGAGTCTAGCTGGACCCTCGTGTCAGGAAGCCCAGTCAGCTTTGTGGTTCCTCAGAGGCTTACAGCCAACACAAGGCCTGTCTTAATCAGGCGACAGCTGATTACTGATTGCCCTGCCTCTGTCCTGGGGAAGGATGGACCTCCCGATGAAGCAATCAGTTATGGTCATGTCATTATCTCATTGTTAGCACAGCCCAGCAACCGAAGGCACCTCCTGGAGAGACCGAGTTGGGGGTGGTCTGAGGAGGCAGCATTCCCAGTGGGCTGTGCTAAGTGGCAGTTGTTTGAATTAAAAGTGACTTGAGGATGGATTGGGCTGATGCATTGTCAGGGCCAGAGCTCTCTAATCCTGTTCTGTGTAAGAGCTTGTCAGCATCCCGGGAGGGACTGACTCACAGTCTGCGCTGATTGGTAATCAAGAGACCGTTAAAGCAGGAACAGAACCGAAGTCCAGGCCAGGAGAGTCCCGTGATTCTTGGGGGTGACTGGAGTCTGCTGGCATACAACTGTGGAAGCCACAGAGACTCCCCCCATCCTAGGAGAGAGAAAGAAGGCTAGTGTTTCAGTTAACAGAGATGGATAGAAACTAAGACCAGTAACCCTGTAATATTTCAGGGCTTGACTTTTTTTTTTTTTTTTTTTTAAGATGAAGAAAGCCAACAACTGTTAACCAATTCATGCAAGAATCTGCCCCCCGGCACCTCCCTGATCCCATCTCCTCTGGTTTCCTCTCACATTTCAGCCTGCTCTAGCCACTTCGCACTTGCCTGTTCTCTCACATGGCCTCTCCCTTGGCCCATGCCATATCCTTAAGTAGAATCCCTGCTCCTTCCCCACTGGTAAAAGTCTACGTACCCGTTAAGATCCACGTCACTTGTTACTTCGTAAAGCCTTTTCATTCTGCTGGCCATGGCTGATTGCTCCCTTCTCTCTGTTTCCAAACTACTCGGTATAGACCTTGTTACTGTATATGCCAGTAATTTGGAATTACTTGTTCCAGTCCATTTTCGTTTTACTACATATTTGTGTATCCACAAACCACAGAGAATGTTGTCATATATAAATGGTGTCATAGTCTTATCAACCATTTTGTAACTTGCTTTTCACCCAACATTTAAAAAAGTTTATCCGTGAATCACGCTATAGTTTACTTAGTTGAACAGCTTTATAGTATTCCCTTGTACGAATATATCACATTTTATTTATTCTCTCTGTTGGTAGACATTTAGGTTATATATATATATTTTTTATTGTTAAATACAGTCCACATTGGACATTCTTGTGCATACTTGTACACTTATGTGAGTTCCTCTAGGTAGTATCTAGAAGGAGAGTTGATGAATTGTTAGGTACACGTATGTTCAGTTTTACTGGAAATGCTCAGTTATTCTTCAGAAAGTTTGTTCCTGTTTACATTTAAACCAGCAGTGTATGAGAGTTCCTTCCCCACCCCCCACATTATCATTTCATAGTATCAAAGTTCTTGGTTATTGCCACTCTGGGCTGTCATTTTAGTCTGCATTTCTCTAATTACCGCTGAAGCGGATTATCTTTTTCTGATGTTTATTGGTTATATGAGTTTCTTCTGTAAATTTCCTGCTTATATCATTTGCTCATTTTCCAAATTTTAACTATTTGTATCCTATCTGCCTCTTTTGTTGTACTATGGAGTCATTGATGGTCAAAGCCTGGGTTTTTATCATCTGTAACAATTGGACTTGCTTTCCTCATGCATCAAAATGTTTCCTGAGTCAGTAACCAGAAAAATCTAGCACAGGTTTAAAAAATGAAGAACTGCATGTAGGCTCTTCACACACACACAGAAGTTGGAAGTTCTTCATCCCCAGAGCAGAGTTTATGGGTTTGGTGGTAATAACACAAACCACTTCTTTCCTTCGTAGGTACCATTATATTCTTCCAAAGTACATCACTTCATATTACATCACTTCTCAAGGCAGCCTAGAGAGGTCAGGAGGGTAGATCTTTCAGCAGTGATCTTCAGACCTTGGGGCGAGGTTTCCCTCAGCTATTACAGGGAATGATCTCGGGTATGGTAAAAGCTCTGTTGCCATTTCACAAATTACAAACTTCGGATTTTTTGAAATTTTGGTATGGAGACTTGTTGAAGCTTGATTGTCCTTTAGAATTTTCCACAAACTAGCCTTTGCCAATTGCATCCTCATGATGTTGTTAACATGTTTCTTTGTCCTCTGTATTTCCTGTAAAAGGGTAGTACAAATCAGAGGTCTAATTTTTTTTTTCTTAAGAAAACCAAGAATCTTTTATCGGCAGTGTTACGTGTTTCCATCAAGAGTCATAGCCGATCTAGCTGACTTTTTGTGCTATCAAGTAGCCACTGATTATGTCTAGATCTATTAATTTATCAGGAGTTACACAATGGTGATATTCTCATTCTCTCTTCTACATTTATTTGTGAAATAAGTCTAGGAAGAGGAACTTCTCTTCACCAGCTAGTTACCCTGACAGAGTTTGCACAGGAAAGTTAGGGTAGATGTTTGATTTCTTACTACTTGTCAGAGTAATGAGTTGGTTCCCTACCATTCCTCTGAGATGCCATTTTCCTCTCTTTTTTCCTAAAAAGATAAAAGCGAGGGTTAATGTCACTTAGTCTTCATCCTTTGATTTGACCTGGCTATTTGAGATGTGAGAAGCTCCCCACATGTGTGGCAGCTCCTGGCTAGTGAGTGGTTTGGAGAGTTGGAAAAGGATTATGAAACTGGCAGGAAGAACACAGGCTTTGGACTCAGACATATCTGAATTTACATCTTGGCGTTGCCGCTTCCCAGCCACGTGGCCCTGAGCATGGTTCTTATCCTTTCTGGGCCTAAGTTTTCCCGTCGGTATGATGAAAGTTCATAACGCCTGCCTCTTGGGATTCTTGTCAGGATTAAAGGACACTGAAAGGCCAGCCCAGTCCCTGGCTTATGATGGGAGCCTGGGAAAGCAATCACTTTTACCAATATTTAGGGAACACAGCCCCTCCTTGCCATCTTCCAAACAGAATTGGCTCACTAAAGTATGATGGCGGCTTGTCGTGTGGTGTCTTGAAGGATCAGATCTCTCTGTGGCAGAGGAGTGGGTGCCTGGAGGCCTCTGCCGAGATGATGAGGTTGGTGGATACTGAGGGGCATGAGTCCCAATCTCCCTTGACCGGAGGGAGCTTCTGACATAGACTATTCTGATTAGTCATCTCTTCGAGAGTCAGACAGCTTGGCTGGGCTCTAGCCCGTCCTGACCTTGGGCTGTTCCATGCTCTAAGATGCCCTCAGAGCAACTCAACATGACAAAGTTACACTTTCTCCCACTTCTCTGCCAGAGAAACATTATATGTGATGCATTGGGTGCTTTATACACTTTAAACGCAAGAGGAAAAAGTATGTTTTGCAACCCCAACTGGAGAATTTAGGGCAATAGAGTACCAAGTGACCTTTGAGGACAAGGACTCCAAAACTCTCATTTCACAAGAAAGAAAACTGAAAGCCAAGTTCATTTACTCTTCAGTTCACTCAAATATTTTTGAATGCCTACCATGTGCTGCGCTTTTGGGTAGGTGCTGGAGATCCCGTGCTGACGTCCAGTCCCCACTCATGGAGACGAGGGCGATAGCTCATGGAGGACGGGGTAGGGGAAACGAGGGGGAGGCAGAGGCCTGGGCGGGAGCATGTAGCAGGAGGAAACTTCTGAAGAAACAGCATTTAAGCTGAAAGTGGAAGAAAGAGGAGGAGCCAGCCAGGTGAAGGGAGCCATGAGAAGAGAGTGTACCCCGAAGGAGGAAACTTGGGTGGGCAGTGGAGGGAGCACAGGGATTTTGAGGAAGAAAAATGAGCTCAGGACTATTTAAGAGTGGAGACCAAGGGCAAGAGGGGCAAGGCTGGGCCAGATCCCACGGGGCCTCATAAGCTGTGCCGAGGGTTTGAAACTTCATCTCAGTGGGCGGTGGAAGCCATTAATGCATTTTACCCAAAGGAGTGGAATAATCAAGTGTGCATTTTAGAAGAAACCTTGGTGGTCAGGTGGGAGTTGACAGTGAGAGAGAAGAAAGGGAGGAGGGAGGCCCATGGAGACAGGCCACTGAAGTGTCCAGGAAAGAGACAGTGATGGGCTTAGGCTTGTGGCAGGAAGACAGAGCGGTGGGAAGATGTGTGGCACATTTGGGACAGCACAGCAGGTATACTTGGAAGATGAGTGGATATGTAGAGCTCACGCCACCCTGGGCTAAGTAGCTTCCTTGGTGTGGAGCTAGGCGTAGTTCCTGCGAATGAATGGTTGCATGACTCAAGGCCTCGCTTTACTCCTCTCAAAAATAGGAGTGGTGATAGTTTTTCTCATCAAGACTTAACAGGCCATTTTCATGAGTATATGTCGACTTTTTGACCTTTTAAACGGTAGCGATTGGCTTTCAGCTGGTCTCTTGCCCTGTTAGTAACAGATATGAGCTGAGCCTTACGTCATTCTCGGATGTCAGGAGATACTGATAGTTCTATGGCTTGGATTTGGCTGGGAGGGGTGGAGGGTAGATTGAGATTTGGGGTTTTCTTTCAAACTCTTTGTGCCTTAAATTTCCTAGACAATCAAAAACTTATATTGGATATTTTTCTAGCGCTTTAACCACCTAAAAAGTAAACCATATGAAAGGGATTAAAATAGTAATGTATTCATTACCAATCCACTGGCAATGTGTTGTTTTAGAGAAAGTGAATATTCACTGAGACCAGTCATTTAGCCACTCATTTTTTAAATTATCATCAAGTATTTTGAACTGGTCCCCTGCAGCTACGTAAGACATGGTACCAAGACAGTGATGGCTTCCTGATTGGTCCTAATGATGAGGTGTGGAGGGGTGGTGGTTGATTTTTTGTCTCTTTCTCGGAAGGACCATTTATTTGACCACTTAGTCATGGAGATCCTATCAAAGTGGAGAAAGCACCAGAGGGTTTATTTTTCTCACAAAAGGCTCAGAGCTGTTGGGTATTGGCATTGGTTTGGTGGCTCAAGGGCACTAGAGCAGTGGTCTCTGTGATTCTGTAGACCTTTCTCTCGTGGTCTCAAGGTGATTGCTGTAGCTGTAGCCATTGCATGTGCATTCAAGCCAGGAAAAAGGAATAAGTGAGGAAGGACAATGGGGTGCACCTTCCAGCTGTTTAGTCCCTTTTAAAGAGCCAACCAATGGCTAGACAAACACAATATGTATTCATTAAATGCTTATAAGGATATCATTTCAATAAAGTCCTCAAGACCCAGATTTTCCAAAGAAACTTAGAGAAACTCAGGGAACTCAGGAACTCTGACCCCTAGCCCTGAGCTAAGCTAAGTGCTATATATTTAAAAGAAAAAAGCTCATCAAGCAACTCATTACTCTCACTGGCTATTTTTAGGAGTAAAGGAGGCAGGCAAATGAAGTTTTGTTTTGTTTGCGCTTGGCCCACTGCCATCCCAGTAGCAGAGAGATTCTGAGAGGAGGGAAGAGGGAGAGAGTGGAGATGCTGCCACGTGAAATTAAGAAAATTCGTTTCTCACACCTCTCGTTTGTTCGCAACAGGCCATCGGAAATGCTAAAACCACTCGCAATGACAACAGCAGCCGTTTTGGGAAGTATATTCAGATCGGCTTTGACAAAAGGTACCACATCATTGGGGCCAACATGAGGACCTACCTGCTGGAGAAGTCCAGAGTGGTCTTTCAGGTGAGTGGTGTGACCGAGGTGGTTTTGTATTTTTTCCTCGTGGATGATGTTTGTTTCCTCCCGACCCACTCCCTGTGCCCAAGGAGCAACGCAGCTTTTGAGCCCGGAATTGGATATGCCTGTTCTTTTGGTTTGGTTTTCTTTATTTTCTTTCATCAATAAAAGTTTAAGTGCTCCAGGTATCGTGCCTGAAAAATCTTTTACCAGTTCTGTTGTTTTCAGTGGGTATTGTTTTTGGAGTCGATCAGCAAACATACTGAGTGCCTGTTATGTGTTAGCCTGTGCGGGACGCCGACGAGACAGTGAAGAATAAGATGACCCTGTTCCTTGTGGATTTCAGAGTCATTCTCAAGGGAATGTCATATGGTGTCCATGGGTTTCAGCTTTCCCCAGGAACCTTCTTATTTGGTCGGTTATAAAAGGAAGAAAAAACCTACTCGGCCACCTCGTTTTCTTTTCAAATACACGGGGTTCCCGCTTCCCACCCGACTCGGTTCTTCATTGCTCCGGCCTCACCTTCCGTTTCCTCCGTCCCACGTGCTCTTTCGCTTGTCGGTGCCCTCTTCCTCCTCCACCCTGGCCTCTGGTGGCGGTCGCTGCAGCTCGCCACCCGAGCGTGGTCCTCCCTCAGTGGAACCGAGATGCTGGTGTGTGCCGTGGTG